CCAGTCAGTTTCCTGCCCGTGACGTTCTAAACCTGGGTATATCCCATGCTTGGATTCTCCAAGCAGTGCACAGGAGAAAGACCATTGGTCCTACCTGAACGGTTGCTCTCTGTGCACTGCAGGAGAATCCAACCCGCCCTGTTTGACTTTGGTCCAGTGTCAGGGTGTGACCAGCATCTTCATAATGAATGTCCTTCATCGAAAAAACTGGAGATAGTCTGACAGAGAAGGCGTGTCCAAAGCTTTCTTCTCTAAGCAGTCGGACAGAAGTTAACCTATGCTTGGATTCTTCCGCAGTGCACAGAAAACAACCATTCATGTAGGACCAACAGTCTATTTCAAGTCCAATGAAGTTATGGCTCCTTGATTTTGGACATATTCTGTAAATCAGTCTGTTTGAGGTACCTTGGTTCAAAAATTATTGTCTTATGATGCACCATTTCACCATTTAAAAGTTATGAGAATGACAGTTTTACCACATATTGATGTATGTGGAGAAATCATGACTTTTAAGATATTGCTGGCCTATGATTTCAGAAGTATTAACATACCTGAACTTTTGGAAGAGCTGCTGGAGTTTATAAACTAGCATATCTAAAGAGCTGTAAGCTTCCATATTCCGGTAATAGGTTTTATTAAAGCAAACTCTTCTTAAATATATCTTCTATCAATGCATAGTTATTTTACAGTTTTAATTAATACACAGAACTTCTAAATTATCATGTAATCAAATATAAATTCTATATAGATAATCCTTGACTTACAATAGTACGTTTACTGACTATTTGAAGCTATGACAGCACTAAAAAAAAGTGACATGATCATTTTTCACATGATCATTGCAGCATCCCCATGGTCATGCAGTCAAAATTCAAACGCTTGACAACTGACTCAAATTTATGATGGATGCATCGTCCTGGGGTCATGTGATCACCTTTTGCAAACTTCTGATAAGCAAAGTCAATGGGGAAGCCAGATTAAGAGCAGTATTAGTAACTTAACTATAGTGATTCACTTAACAATATGACAAGAAAGGTTGTGAACTAGAGCAAAATTCATTTAACATGTCTCGCATATCAACAGAAAATTTTTGGCTCAGTTGTCATAAGTTGAGGACAAGCTGTACTTACTATTCAGCTGCCACTAATACACAAATATGATTTGTAAAATTGAAGTTATTTGAACTATAAAAGTGTACTGTGAACTATAATAGAGAACTATAATAATATAAAGATGTGTCAACTGCCCAGTTTTAATATCTATAAAATTATTGTGTCTGTTAAAATACGTAATACTAAAATTCATGTACATTTTGATAAAGGTATGAGTTCTTAATTGATGTAGTTGACATTAAAAGCAAATTTTAGAGCAAAGGGAGTCTTTATTACTGTATTTTTATGTGTTTATATGTGAAGAAAACACACATACACACAACTTCTCTTAGATTATATATTTTGAGGTAAAAATGAAATAATTACATCCTAAGAAATCAAGCTGTAACCGATAGTATTAAAAATATATTTTCCAACATTTAACTATAATGTTGACTGTAAAAATATATTTAAAAATAAATATTATAGTTGCTGTGTATTGTAATCATTGGTTACAAATATTTGAATTGTTTAAAGAGCTGAACTTTAATTTGTTTTCCATTATATGATATTTGCTAATTGCATCATTCAATTTTAGATACTGTATTTATATCTGTTGCATCTTTTTGTATCCTGTTTTATTTTTTTTCTTAGTGCATTCATTTGTATCCATATTGTTGTCCTTCATCTCCTATCTGCAGTGTATACTTAGTCTCATTTGTGCAAGTAGTCCTCATTTAGTGTTTGCCCTGTTTAGTTAATATTCAAGATTATGACAGTGCTGAAACGTTAATTATATGATTGGTCCTTACACTTACAACCTTTGCAGGATCCCTGAAGTCACATGATTGAGATTCAGGCACTTCATTACTAGCAAGTTTACAACTGTCACAGCATACTACAATTACATGATTGTCATCTATACACATTTGGCTTCTAACAAACAAAATAGAGAATTTGGCAATAAAATTGCAAGTCTCAATCACATGATGTCTCAGTTAAAGCATGTAATTTGCTTAATGACTATTTTGGAAGTGAGTTGATAACCCTATAAAGGACCCATAAAGTTTTGTTTAAGAACTACATTACTTAACAAAGTGGTGGGTTCCAGATCCCATTGCAACCGGTACAGTGCAATGGGACCCAGCAGCCACCACATGAATAAGCGCAGCGCGCAGATGCGTCCTTACGTCCTGCGGCACTCCGCGACTCTCCAGCTGCTTGGCGGAGCATTGCGCAGGTGCCATACACTGCACGCGTGTGTGCAGATGGCCCATTTCATACAAATACAGGTAAGGAATGAGGGCGGGTGGGTGGGCCTTCCGGAGCACCATACCAGAATGTTACCCAGTGCTCGTGGCAGGCACCGGTATGCCCGTACCGGGGCATAACGCCTGCAACCCACCACTGTTAACAATAGAATTGTGGATCCCAATTACCATAATTATGCAAGGACTACCTGTAATAACTTTTTGTCCAGGGACTATGCCCATTTCTTTTCAAAATGCTTTGCTCTAGCACCATCTCTTTTATCCTAATTTGTTAAGTAAAAGGTATCTTCATATGCATGTTGTGAGTGGGGTGGTAAAGAAGAGGAATAAGGTGATAATGCTCAAGCTAATAGCTGGTAGCATTTAGACCTAGAATGACAATAAAGAATTCTTAAACAAATAATGACAAATTAAAAGTTCCAGAGCCTTCAATGGCAAAATATAGAAGAAGGAAATGTTTCCTCTTTATGAAATGAGTACTGTTAAAGAAAGGAACTTGATATGGACAAACAAAACTGTTTTAAAGACTTATTACATTAATTGATTTTTCATTTGCTTCTGTGTTCAGAGTTCATGTTTTATGAAGATAACAGGTAGCCTGTTATAGCAAGACCAATGTTGTAACTAATCACTTTATTATAATGATTCAAACTTTGATATAAATAATTTATGAAACTAAGTTCATTAATTGGTAAATAATCATTTTCATGGTGAAAACCAATAGGGATGTAACTTAACCCCTTATTTTTGAGGCTATCTTAAATATGGATGTTTAGAAACGTAAGTGTTAAAACTAAGCTTTCCTTGTAACAGTACCTTTTGAAATTAAGTAGTCATGAATATCAAGTAGGTGTTTATTTCAAAATCTCTTTTATTTAATGTAATTTACAAAAAAAAAAACCCTTACCAACTAAAATACATTTCTAGGTTGGTGGTCTCGATATGTTGATAAGTAAGAAGATACGAGATAGAGAAGCACTCTTGCACTAAGAAAGGTGTGTTGTATTAAAAACTAATTCATGAAAGTTGAAAATGAGAGTACTTAATTCTCATTCATGTAATTGCTAGTAAATGAAGACTTTCTCCTATTTTTTATATAAAGAAAAATTAAATTTTAAAAAAATTAAAAATACAGATAGTCCTCGTTTAACTATATTAATTGGGACATTGCAACTCTGTCACTAAGTGGACATGGTCATAAGTCGACATCATATGACCCTGCTGACTTATAACAGCAGTTGTGGTAGTTCCAGTTGCCATTGTTAGGTGAATTCCATCTTATAGTCATGTGATTGTTATTTGGCTTCCCATTGATGGAAACTGAAGATCACAAATGGCTATCGTGAAACCATGGGATGATTCAATGTAATTACAAGACACCTATAATCACATGAAAAAAGCGATGCTGTGACAACCACAACTGTGAGGAACAGTTGTAAATCACATTCAGTACCATTGTAATTTCAGATGGCCATTGACCAAGTGGTCATCAAATGAAGAATTTTGCAGGGCCCTAATCAGTAACTATGTTGTTGAGTTAATGTAATATAATGTAATTGGAGAATCTGCTTAATGTTAGACTAAACATTAATATTCTATAAAAAATAAAGCTTTGTGGAATTCAGTATTAGTATTAAGAATTCATTATTGGTGATGCTATGTTATTATGTTGAACTGCATAAGTGAACTAGTAAAATATAAGTTTGCATTTAGCTGATAAGGTATTTTTTGTATTTTAGTTTAGGGCCTGATAACTCCTGAATTAGAATCTGAAAGGCACGTTCAAAGGACTAGATACTTTAATTAGTTGCATATTTTTATGGCCTTGGACAAATAGATATTAAAAATGGAAAAAGGGACTTTCTTATTTATTGAAAGTATTATATATAATGATAAAAGGAGATAATTATGAAGAAGGCCAATCTAAAAATGTTACTTTAAAATATTCCTTAAAAAACAGTGTTGGGATCTGTCATACTGAAAATGAGAAAAAAGTTCAGTGTGGCCTATAACCACCTGAATTGTACAATTCTGAGTAATTTTGTTGAAGAGCAGCAAAGTAGAAGTGATACTGATTGATTAGATTACTTAAAAGCTCTTCTGGGTTATTATTTTAGCTAGTATTTGAAATATTTGTTCCCTGGTTTCCCTTAATTCGGGAAATTAGCCAACTTATTTCTGAACCATTTTTCTATAATATTTTCATGCTACATATAAAGTCATATATAGTTTGGAGCCTACATAGGACCACCTCTCCCTAACAGTTGCTGGGCTTTTCTCAAATGGGGCAGGTATTATGATGGGAAGGATCTCAGTATGAGGTATTCTTTGTAGCTCTGCCTACTTTGAAATACTCTGATGTAAGGATAGCCCTCACACTCATTGGCTTCTAGATGCAAGTGGAAATATGACCGTTCTTAAGTCCTGGGGTATGATTATAACTAGCAAGTGTATATTTGGTAAATTGAACATTATTTTTAGTATTAATTTGAGATTGGACTACTATTTAAATTATATTGACTTAAATTGCATGTTATGTGATAAATTCTGTAAGCTAGAATACCTAGAATCTGCTTAGTTTCAGAGGGTAGATGTATCTTGAAAATAAATATATGTATATATTTTGCTCTATCCTTAGGTGAAAACTTCAGAATTTTATCGTTATTCCAGACAATTGCGGCATGAAGTGGAACAGGCTATGAATTACTTCCATAGTGTGCATCAACAGCCTTTGATGGAAATTAAATCAAATCGCATTCGTTCTGCCAAACCCCAGACTGCAGTATTTAGAGGAATGATAGGACACAGCATGGTAAATAGCAAAATACTCCTCCTGCACAAGCCAAGGGTCTGGTGGGAGTTAGAAGGCCCACAAGTACCTTTGAGACCAGATTGCCTTGCTATTGTTAATAACTTTGTGTTCTTATTGGGTGGGGAAGAATTGGGGCCAGATGGTGAATTTCATGCTTCCTCCAAGGTGTTCCGATATGATCCAAGGCAAAACTCTTGGTTGCGAATGGCAGATATGTCTGTGCCACGGTCAGAATTTGCTGTTGGTGTTATTGGAAGATACATCTATGCAGTAGCTGGAAGAACAAGAGATGAAACATTTTATTCAACTGAACGATATGATATTACAGAAGATAAGTGGGAATTTGTAGATCCTTATCCAGTCAATAAATATGGACATGAAGGAACTGTTCTTGGCAGCAAATTGTACATCACTGGTGGAATAACATCGTCTTCTACGTCCAAGCAGGTATGTGTATTTGATCCCAGTAAAGAAGGCACTGTGGAGCAGCGAACAAGGAGGACTCAAGTGGTGACTAATTGTTGGGAAAACAAATGCAAAATGAATTATGCAAGATGTTTTCACAAAATGCTTTCCTATAATGGCAAGCTTTATGTTTTTGGAGGTGTCTGTGTAATCCTGAGAGCCTCGTTTGAATCTCAAGGCTGCCCTTCTACAGAGGTTTACGATCCAGATACTGATCAATGGACAATTTTGGCTTCTATGCCAATTGGGAGAAGTGGCCATGGTGTGGCTGTTCTGGACAAGCAAATAATGGTTCTTGGAGGCCTTTGTTACAATGGTCACTACAGTGATTCAATTCTTACTTTTGATCCTGAAGATAATAAATGGAAAGAAGATGAATACCCAAGAATGCCCTGCAAACTGGATGGTTTACAAGTTTGTAGCCTACATTTTCCCGAATATGTGCTAGAACATGTTAGACGTTGTAGTTAAAATACTCAAGAAGAAAGTATCCATGAGAAAAGCAGAGTAAAGTAGAGAGAAATAAAGCAAATTAAATGTCATTGATCTGTGTAATATACATCTTAATAATTAATACAGGAATGTATTTACAAAGTTTATTAAGAATAACTGCAGTTTCATAATAATTAATTTTTTTACATATTATATGGTCAGAGAAGAAAAAATAAAAGATGTTCTTCCATTTTATTTCTTGTAAAACCATAACAGATGCACACAAACACATGTCTCTGTAAAGAAAAAATTGTGGTTCAAAAAGTGGTGGAACATACTCTTTTTGAAAGGTGGTTTAAAAGCAAATGTATTGTGGATTTTAATTCTTTAAACAGATGAAAATTTGGACATTCTTAATAGAACAGATTTTCTTCTAATATAGCAGTGCAATGGGCCTTTTGTTTTAAGTACATTATTTGTTTTTTCAATACTTCTTTTTCACTTTTATGCCCCCTGAACAAATTTGACACATCATCTATTGATATTGGTCACAATTTAAAATAGTTTTCTATTTTTATATGATTTTCCTTAATTTCATGCAATAGTTCATATTAGTCTTACAGAAAAATAAGTTTCTAAAAGTAATTTAAGTTTTTTAATGAAAATTCTAGACTGCCTTTGTTTTAATTGTGAATAAAATGTATGTATAAAGTAAGGTCAAAATAAAATGCATATTTTTATGTGCAGCTAAAAATCTATTTTTACTAATACACAGATATCAGCCATATCTGCAGAATTTTAGCTGTGATGGTATCCTTTCATATATACATTCATTGGATAATTGAAAACGTCATTCTCATTAATGTACATGTTGACTGATGGAGTAATATTTGAATTCCTTTTAATGCAAATAAGGAAGAAAGTGTGTGTAATTTTATCTTCTTAATGCTTTGCCCTGAAATACCTAACATAAATGTGTATAATAAGCATAAAGTCTGTTCTTTATGAGCAGATAATTTTCTTCAGGTATTATCAGCTATTGGCAAAACCATTTCCTTGCACTGATTAAGCTGTTGTACTTAAAAACAGAGATTTGACTGACTCAGCATTATTTCAGGAAACTTAAAAATATTACTGGCTTCTCTATTTCTGAATAGGGTGGCTGGCAGCGGAAGGATCCTGTATCCCTTGAAATTTTGTTGAACCCAACCTCAGTCAGCAAGGCCAGTTGGCAAAATTTGGAGTTCCCACCTCTGGACAATAAGATGTTGTTAAAAGCACTCTCTAAATATGTGGACACATGTCTGAAAATGAGTGATATCCCTCAATCTGAATAGAACTTTGAATTGACATTGAACTTTCATTATCTCTTTAAAGTAATTTGGAAATGTGAAAAATAATAGCTGACAATTTGAAACTTGTTGACTCTAGGCAGACTGCTGAAATGGTTTCATGAGATTCAATGCCCATGTAAAACATAAAGATATAAGCTGCACAATTTTATTTTAGCATTTTGGGAACCTCTATATAACAACATGCTATATTCTTGGAATTTATGCATGTGATAAGTTTCCAATTTTTGTTGTTAAACAGCAACATACTTGACTGAAGCAAATATATAATTGTTCTTTCCAAGCTTTTCTCTCTGAAAGCTAAATTAATGGGGCAATATTACTTTGTGATTATCTCAAAGATCAAAAGTATAAATTACCACTGTAATAATATGCTATGTTTACTGAGATGTTATTAAAAATGGTAGGCCAAATTTTCTCATTAGTTACTTGCACACAGACAAATTTGAATGTTCATAAATTGCATATGTTTCTGAAAAAAGCATCATACTACACAAAATCAAATGCATGTTAAATCAAAAGTGATCCTCTTGTTTGTGTAACTTATGTTTACTACTTTTAATGTACACATTGGACAGTTATTAACCTTATTAAGATGCAACCAAAGCTTAATTCTGTAACTGACAACATAATAAGATAAGAGAATGTATTTGCTAGGGAAAATATAGCAGAAAAAATTATTTTGTTCTGTTTTAAGACAAACTACCCTGCTGGGATTCAGTTTTGAAGGCATATCAGTTGGTATATACTGGCAGTAGTTCCTGAATGAATAAAAGAATTCTGATCTTTTATTCATAAAATAAAAGCAGCATACTAATGTTTATATATACACATTCATCCATTATTTCTCCTATTTTCCTATAGACCTATCCATTTTTATATTAGTATATAAAATATAATATATAAACAGGAAATTGTAAATGAGCTTAATTCACAGCATGTTTCAAAATGTGACTTATAACTTCTCACATCCCATTTTAAGAACTTGTGTTGCCACAGGAACATAATCTCTCAAAATAAGTATAGAGTTTTTCAGTAACTTGAATTTTTGCTCACCATAAAATTTACTTCTATTTAGCCTATTCATTAGACTAAAATTAACTAATTCTAAAAGTGTTTGTGATAGGATAAGGTCAGATAAAAATGGAAGTGAATTTTTTCCAAGTACGTTAAAGAGCCATTTTTGTATAATGTTAATTATTAAACACTTAGTATTGCTGCTTCACTATGGTTGTTATGAGATCAAAAACTTCTGGCTATAGAGAATGAGAGTTTTTGTTTACATCTAACTTGGGGGAAATCATTAGCTTAGGTTTAAGCAATGGTTTACCTGCCTGGCTTTCAAGTAATATTTGAATATTGATAGCTTTAATCTCTTGTAAAGTTAATTTGATAGTCCCGTTTATAGAGATTCCCAGTCATTCAGGTCATGGTTGTCTCAAAGGTGCTTTTTTCAATACTTGTCCAATTGGGGGGAAAAAAACTCTTGGGAAAAAAAAACACCTTTGGGAGAATTGGACAGTCCCCTTGCAATTGTATCTCAAAGGGCTTTTAAGGCCAAGGTCTTCACTACTAATATAGAAAATGTTTTTTTTTTAATAAAATGTATCAATATGTGTCTATCCATGCAGACAGACACATATTGATAAATGTTGATAAATTAAAGGCAATTTTACTCTAGGAGTGCTTTTAAAACAGAATCCTCCACAGCCAAGTTTATATGCTATGTAGTCTGATCAATACCTAAATCATCCTGGGTATCATATAGAAGAGTTTTAAAAAATAATTTACCACTGAGACAATAGTAAAATTATGAAATATATTAATAGATATAGCAATAGCACTTAAGATATATACCACTACACAGTGCTTTACAGTCATCTCTAAGTGGTTTACAGAGTCAGCATATTGCCCCCAACTATCTGGGTCCTCATTTTACTAACCTCGGAAGGATGGGAGGCTGATTCAACCTTGAGCTTGGTGAGATTTGAACTGCCAAATTGCAGCAGAAATAGCCTGCAGTACTGCATTCTAACCACTTCTAACCATATACACCCCAGCTCTGTTACATTATGAATTGCTTTCTCAATTATAGTAAGTTATCTGAAAAGGCACATTAAATGTAATGGGACAATGGTGCTTGTGCTTTTTTAATTTCTCTTCCATTGTAATACAAAAGTCTGGTTGTTTATATACTTGATGGAAAGTTAGCTCAAATGAGTTACTGAACCAATACTTAAAGTTAGCCTTCTTAAGATGTGAGCCCCGAGTTTTTCAATCTTGCTGTTGCATAAAAACGCAATTTAGCTATCTTAATGTGAATTTTGATTTTGTTTCTTTGATTAAAAAGCAAATATTCTTCATCTTATAAATGTCAGATGATTTCTCACCTATTATGTATCTTCCTGTGGTTCACAATACTCTTCTGAATTGTACTTTCTTGAAATTCCTATGCATATGAAGGTAGCTTAAGTTTATAAGAGAAAATAATGTAGGAATATTTGTCACAACTATAATTTAAGTGTATTTAAAATATAGCTTACTCAACTTACACTGAACTTTGGACAGTTCCCAAATTGTTGATCCATGCTTTCCTAAAAAGCTCACTGTTTAGTTTAAACCATTTCATCTCATTAATAATTAAAATGCCAACTAGTGCCAAAATGGAAGAGGAAGGACACATGAACGTTTTAGAGGATTTTAGACATAATGCACTACACTAAGGCCTGTTCATTTCGCTTGGGAATCTGTATAAACACTTGGTGGTGTTAAGAAAAAAAACTTTATTCTTAAGAAGAAATGTCTCTCCAAAAACTCTAGTCTCTTGCATTAATGAATGTTTACATGTGCTTTATAAATTATTTTTTTTAAATAAATTACTCTAGAAAGCCTATTCTTACATTTTATTTTAAGACATCTCCATGTTCATATAACTTATGAGAATACTATTTTCTATACTATTTTAGTGGAAAAAAGTAGTACAACTAAAAGAGAAGGCTACCATATGAAAAAAAAATCAGACACCAAATAAAAACTTAAAGCATGATTTGTATGTCCATTTCTTATACTAAGTTAGTACTAGAAGAAAGGTTGTCACATGTAAAACCATAACAACCACTAGGCTAATCTCATCACTGCTCATTTTTTATTGATATCATAAAGTGGCTGAATGAAAATTCTGAATTTTCTTATCACATAAAATACTGATATTTTGAAGAAATTGAATTAAAGAATAAAATTCCATTTCTAAAGCAAGAATATTTATACATAATTCAAGAATATATCTGTTACTATCAGTAGAAAAGGAAACAAGGCCCAATACCTGAAAACAAAACTTGTTTAAAGTTCCATAACTAGAAAATGATTTCTCTCAATTTTATGATACCATATTATTACAGGATTTATTCAACTTTGGGGGGAAAGGGGACAGCGACATACATTTGAATAAAAATCAGGACCAGTCATTCTGTATTAAATTAATAAGTCTTAATTAGGATTAAATTTCATATGTAAGTTTTATAAATAGAACTTCAAATACTATGCCAAATTCTGAGAATATGTTAGTAACAATAGTTGGAGAAGTTGCTGTTGCAGGATGGTTATGCATAATCCAATGCTGCTTTTCAACATATCTAATAAAATGTTTGCATGTCAATTTGAGTTACCTTTGAATTGTGCTAAAATAAATTGGAATACTTTATTCAAATATGCACTGTGCAGTTCTAATAATTTACCTGAAGCAGTTGTGAAACTGCAATTTTTTAATATTCTTAAAAACATTTCTTTCTACTTCTTTGTAAATGTTATTCCAACTCATCCTGTGAATGCATTATGTTCAGACATGCATATATGCTGTTCTGTTTTTAAGCAAGGTGTAAAAATTGTATATAAATAAGAATGTAAATAAAATATTTTTAATTTTCGCTAGTTTTTTCCATTTTTTGTTCCTTTTCAATTATTAAGTCTGCTTCACATTCTTAAAGTCATATGTATTAGCATACTTGTGAAAGTACTCAGCTGAGCCAAAATGCAAATAGAACAATTGGGACCAGTTGTAAATTTTAACAATGTTATGAAATTTAAATACTTTAGAGCCTTAATAACTTTGATGGGAAAAGTAAAGAAGCTATACTTTTTTCTTTGAAAGCAATATTTTAAAGTACTTAGCTTTGTCTGTTGTCCATTAATATGCTAAAACTATTGTGGCTATGTAAAGCATTTAAAAGAACGGTTCATAAATGTGTAACAGCCAATTTTACTAAATTTTTATAGCACCCTTATTGATTGAAGAAATTAACCTTTCTTCAAAGCATAAAACTAGTGACAGTCTTTGCAAGCTTGATGTGGCTGTTTTGAAAGCTGCTCACAGTTACCTCAGATGATAAGTTTATCTGGAGTGTATTGTCAGTCTTGCCTTTGGTGTGATGGGCAGTCATACAAATTTGATTTAAAAAAATAGATAAGCATGAAAACTCAATGTTTTCCTGGTAGACTGAATGGAAGAGTGATTGTGCAGGTATACAGAAACAATTGAAAAGAACTTTTGAAGCAGCTGTGTAAATCTTCACGTGTTTCCTTTATATTAATGCATATTGGGAAGCATCTCTTTAGTTACCTTTAGTATTTATCAACCTCTTCCTATTATTTTCCATCTAGATGCCTCAAGTATTACTAGCAACAGATGCACATTGGCAACATTACTTTATTCTTCTCACATAACATCACATCTTTCTATCAACAGTAACTCATTTTGTTAGGAATTTCCTGAAGCCAGAGAATTGTGTATATTCATCTTCTATGGCTATGTCTGCAAAAAGAGCAAACAAAACTACATGGGGGAAAACAATTTCAACTGTTGTTGCAACTATATGATAGAAATGGCGGAGACATGAACAAAAAATACATTTAACTCTGATTAATCTTCCCAAATATCTTCAGTTCGGAGTGCTCTGGCCCAATCATAAAGCCTTACTGCTTCTTGCTCCCAATCTTCATTAGAAAATTCATTTTCTGGTCCTGGATCCCCAGCTGAATGATCACTCAAAGAAGGACTGCTTAAGTCCTAAAAAAAAAAAAAAAAAAAAAAAGCAAACAATTTGAAAGTGAAATCTAATGTTATACATTTTAAACTAAATTCTTGTTTTGCAGAGATTTTTAATACAAATGCAGCTATAGTTTGAACCGGGGTGTCAAACTCAGTTTCATTGAGGGTCACATCAGGGTTGTGTTTGACCTCAGGGGGGCTGGGGGGCATGGCCAGCTGGATGTCACTCATTAAGGCTATGTTTCTGGCCGCGACAGCCTCCTACAGCCCTCTGCCAGCTAAAATGGAGTTCCGGGAGTATGTGCATGGCCCACCCAGGCTGTGTTTTTGGCCGCAATGGATTCCTGCAGCCCTCTGCCAGCAAAAACAGAACTCGTAGAGGCCACATGCAGCCCACTCTGGTTTCGTTTTCACTGGCAGCGGTACCGTGGATTGGTCCTTCGCTGTTTCCAGGGCAGGCCTGCAGACCAGATCTAAGCAACCTGTGGGCCGGATCCAGCCCGCAGGTCTTGAGTTTGACACCCTTGATCTTGAGATTTATAATGTAATTGTAGCTTTTCAATATTTCAACCAAAACTAAGCACATTTCTTCTCAAAATTAAGCATTCTTTGAGCAATCTATCCTTGGACAAACAGTATTATTTGACATAAAATTCATATGCCCACTGCAGCTCTGGAATTAGATTCTTAATATCCAAACAAAGCACTACTATAGGTGTGTGTTTCATATGGCTCACATGAACAGAAGGAAGATAGGCAATTGTTGGCTTAAAATGGAGCTGTGAGAAATGTTCTGAACCACTGCTCAACTTTTCCCACAAACAGCTTCTCTTATCTATTTTTTTAATTGAAAATTTTAAAAAAGCTTTTACAAATATTTACCTCAACTCTCCC